GCTTTCGTTTTGTTCGTGTTAATATTGGAGCCGGACGCGTGCTTAAAGTTATCTAAAATTTTAAAAGCTTCTTCTATTGATCGGGGGTTTCTAACAAAGAGAGTTGTGTCATTCATTCTAACAAAGAGAGTTGTGTCATGTATTGCGAGACTTTTAAGTTTACTTTTGATCCTGGCAGCGGAATGCCGTCAATGAGTTTGTTGTTTTTAAACTCGAGGGCAAGCGTTTCCACGGCCAGGCAGTAGAGCATGAGTGAAATCGGGTCACCCTGACGGACGCCCCTCTCAATTTTAAAAGGTTTACTCATATATCCATTGTTTAAGACAATGGATTGAGTCTTTTTCATTGTTTGTTTTATTGCTTTGATAAAATTTTCTCCTAGATTGAATTTTTCTAGGACTTTAAACAAAAAAACTCTATCAATTTTGTCGAAAGCCTTTTCTTGGTCAATTGTGATCAGGCAGCTTTCGATATTTTTTTCGTTTGTATGGTGAATTATGTCTCTTACTAGAAATGTATTTGAAAATATATTTCTTTCTGGCACCGAGCACGTTTGCGAGGGCGCAAGTAAGAGTTGCATCACTTTTGAAAGTCTTAACGCAAGCGCTTTTGTTGCAAGTTTATAATCGGCGCATATTAGTGAAATTGGTCGCCAGTTTAGCATTGAGGTCAAATCGCCGTCTTTTAGCAATAGACTAATAAAAGCCGTCTTTTGTGACCAGGTCAGTTCATTATCGCTGTTAAAAAAATATCGTTTAGCAGAGCAGTGAGCTCTTCGCCATAAATTTCCCAGTATTCTTGATATAGTTCGACTGGCAAGCCGTCTATACCAGGCGTTTTACCTTTACTTAATGAATTTGCTGCATTAAGTAGTTCTTGGCTACTAAATTTTATATTGAGAAAACCATTTTGGTTATCATTTAAAGCATTTTTAATATTTGCAAGAAAAGACTCTTGCATTTCATTTTTCATATTTTCTTTTTTGTATAAGTTTTTGTAAAAATTCCTAACTGTTTTCAGTATATTTTTGGTATCCTTATGCACTCTATTGCCATCAGTTATTGTTTTAATAATTTTCTTTTTTTGATTGCTTATTTCTATTTGAAAAAGGGCTTACGATGGTTTTTCGCGTTCTTCAACAATGAGTTGCTTTGTTCTCACAAAGACTCCTGTGTTGTTAAAGAGAGTTTTTTGCTCTTTTTTGAGTTGTTTAATTTTTTCAGTATCTATGTTTATTTTGCGTGTTTCAAAATCAATTTTTTGGATTAATATTGCCTCTTGTTGTTTTAGTTCACGTTTTTTTAGTTTAGCTGTTTCCATAGCTATACCTTTTATTCGGGATTTCACAATATCCCACCATTGGTTGTTATTTGTGTATTTAAACTTTTTGTTTTTTTGCTAATCAAAATCTGTTTGTAAATTTTTGTTAAAGTTTTTATCACTTAAGATGTTGGTATTAAGGTGCCAGTATCTTGGCCCCCTTTTGTTTCCTAGATCAAGTATAATTTCGCATAGTGCTGCGTCGTGGTCACTTAAAATATTTTTCACAAACGTGCACTTGCAGTTGTTAGTGTTATAATTAGAGCCATAAACGCGGTCTAACCTACTTCGGAAAGTTTTATCTTCTTTTTCATAAGTAAAAACTTGTTTGTGTGTGAGTTGCGTCCTAAAGACGTCATTCACTTTATGTAGTTGTTTAAACAGGTTTAAGTTTTTTGATCCGACAGAGTGGTTTGGATTTAATATATCTCCACCTTGCCGGTCTGCACTTGGGTTTCCGACCATATTAAAATTCCCACTTAGGAGTAAAACATCACACACATTAAAATGCTTAATTAATTTCTTAAAAAAACGCTCCTTATGACTGTGAGTGTTGGGCGCGTAAATGTTAATTATTCTTAGTCTAATTTTTTTTAGTGTAATATTGACAGCAAGAATTCTTCCATGTTTATCTTGGGTAATGTTTTCAATTATAATATCTTTTTTAAAAAGAATAGCAACACCACATTTGTTACTGTTATCGCTATTCCATATCGATGTTCCATTTGTTTTGTTTTTCCATTCTTTAGCCCATTTAATAGCCGTTTCATCGGTACTATGGGTTTCCTGGACACAGTATATATCATAATTTAGATTGTGAAAAAAATTCATAGTATTTTTTCGTTTGGCAGCGTTATTTAGGCCATTTACGTTGTTTGTAAGAATTTTTACTGTCATTATAAAAGAACAATAGAATTTTTAAAACGCACGCTGTCGAACAAAAGAAATTCTTTTTTAAATAAAAACTTTTAATTTTTTTATGTTCACTGAGGCGTAAACTTAAAAAATTTGTATTTCAAAATTTGAACTTTTAATTAAATTTAAAATATTTGCTAAATATTAAAAAGTTAATAAAGAAATTTAAAACAAAATCTAATGATAAAATAAAAAGACCAACTTACGTGCCTCCAGAACACACCATATCCTCGATATCGTGCTTCTCGTTGTTCCTGCTAAAATCGATGTCGTGTTTTTCCTCTGCTTTCTTTTTGCCTGGGGCATCGAAAGAGTACTGCTTTCGTTTGTTGCTTTTCGTGTCTTCTTTTTCATTTTTGTGGTTTTCCTCTGTTGTATCGTCTTCCTCCATTTTCATTTCCGTCGTTTTCTGCCCGTTGATTTTTTGGATCTTCTCTTCTTTGATCGTTTGAATTTTTATTTCCTCGTTAATGTTTATTGTAACTATTTTTTTAACAGGTGTTTTTTCCTCTATGTTTGGCTTGGGTGTTTCAACAACTGCTAGAGGTTCTACTGCTAAAACATCTTCAGGGATTGTTGTTGTTGCAACAGGTTTAATTTTTTTTATGTCTAGATTGTTTTCGACAGCTTGCCCTGTATACATTGTTAGTACCGAATAACCAAGGACGTTCAACATTCTGGGAATCGGAACAAGCATGTCCTCCAGAACTGCAACAAGGATGCCACTGTAGAACTCCCTACCTTTAGCAGTTCTCCTCATTACAGGTCGTGTAAAGACATGCCTTCCATACCCACGTTCCTCAAATACTCTGCCGACTTGTTCGTATTTCGCCTCTAGTGGGAGGCCAAAGACCGACACATGTGTTTGAGTTGGCCTGTTCACCAGAGGTTTACGGTAGGGACTTGACTTGGTGAAAACGTGGTGGAATCCCAAAATGTCAAGTCCTCTTTCGAGGAGAATTAGTTTTGCATCTTCGGTTTTCATTACTATTTCGAGAACCGAGTTTCGATGAATAAATTGAACCTCTTCCAGTTGCTCGTCAATCTTCTGATTTTCAAGCGCAGTTACAACATCATTTATATTCATTCTTGTTTGAACTGCACTCAGTAGGGTTCTGTTAAGAGGTTTTTTATTGCTTAATATGTTCTGTTGTGCAGCATTCGCATAACTGTTCTTTGCTGGTAGAGTGTTTTTTTTGTTTATTTTTATTTCGACGTCGCTGTCTGATTCCTCGTCGTCGCATGTATCTGATTTTATCATCGAAATCGTTGCACCATTTGCAGATGCATTCATTTTCATTAGAAGAAGTAAGGATTCATCTTCTAGGATTAAATCATCGTTAGATTTTTTTTCATTTGTGTTGTTTTGAGTTGTAGTTTAAAAAAAAATTTTTTTTACTGTCTCTCCGGACGCCATTTTTTTTCTTGAAAACCGCTTGTGAATACGTCCGATTGCCTACCTTATTACACAGGGACTAAAAGGTTTCAGTATGTGTTTTTTTCCGTAGTGTGCTCGTTCTTCAAACGAGGGCCTTGTTTAACTGCCCATTTTTATAATTGTGGCTCTAAAATTTTGAACGCAACTTCTCTAGCACAACACCCTATCGGTCTCTCATTGCAGACGCGACAGAACGAATTGAAACTCTTTGATCGAGTTGGATATTATTCCTATATTATTAGTGACTTAGTGACTTGGTGAACGCCAGTGAACAGCTCATTTGAGTGTTTATAAGCGTTGCAAACGCTACAGCTTTCGCCTACGACCATGCCACGGTGAACACACCCGTTTTCGTCCGATCACGGAAGTTAAGCACCGTCGGGTCAGGGTAGTACTTGGATAAAGACCGCCTGGGAACTCCTGGTGCCGTAGCCTTTTTTCACTTTTCTCACCTTTCAATACTTAAATACATTTTTGCTCCATGTTCATTAATGACTTCTATCAATAGTGCTAAGCTTTTTTTCAGTGTGCAAATATTCCATTATACATATTCCATTATAACGGCAATCAATCAAGTGAACCACGCATTCAACAAAGTCTCTAAACTCTCTTCCCCAAACAACGCAATAAATTGCTAATTGAAAAAAATCAATATTGAATCTATATCTATCTACATCTATAGGCACGCAAGTGTCAGCATCGAAGAAGTACTTGCAAAACAATCTATATTCTACAACATACCTCACTAACATGCTAAAAACGCTAAACCCTCAAGCCAACTCCTACTCATTCAAGTTTAGATAGTCTTTAATGTCTTGAATATGTTTAAAATCTCCAACATCATTGTTAATATACGTTTAAGACGCTAGAATATTCTTTGCTATCAAGTACTTTGTAACTGAGGTGCACAATATATTTTACAAGTAGGAATTGCAATAGACTAAAGAAAACAAAAACTTCTTACTTTTAGTCTTGTGTTTATGCAAAAAAAAACGACAAGTTCTCATTGCTTCATTTGAACTACAAACAGCAGCAGTTTCCCTCGTTTAGTAATGAAATCAACAGCTAAGTGAATCTAATTTATTAGATAAAGTCCTTAATTACACTATTTGTCAAACATTACAAAATACACGCATCATTTGCATACAAATTGCAACATTAAAATAACGTGTAAACTAAAAAAGTTAAACTGTTACAAAAATACATGTAAGACTCTGTTGAAAACTCAAAAATTCAGAAAAAAAAGACATCAATCTGCAAACTTGTCGAACTGTCATAGAGACGAGAGCTAGAACTGAGAGGAAAGTTGTTTTCATTTGCATATTAGTTTACCCACTCCCGAAACCCCGAAAATTCGAAAATTTGCGTCAAAATTTATTGATGCCTACCTTATAGTTTTTTTTTTTGTTATAAAAAATTTTCCATTTTACTAAAAATATTCATACCAATACATTAAAAGATTTTTTAATATACTCATTTTACAAAGTTTTCTTTTATGAGAACGAGTTTACATTTTTGAGAATAAAAAAAGAAGAAGTTTAGAAGATAGGTTTTATAAAACTGTGTCTAAAATATATAATCGTGGCGATTAACCCGCGACCTTATAAAAAATACTCACAACCTTTGCTGTTACAGGACAGCTAGGTTCATGCTCGTTTTCGTGTTTACTATGGTTGAAGATCCATTTGTTTTGTCTTTTGACCTAAGTTAGAATCAAGACCTAAATTTCTCTATACTTAAATAGTGAATGTTAAGTCTTGATTATTGTAATCGCTTATCGCATTGTTTATCGAAAAAGCTTTATGAAATTTTTCAACATTGTTTTCTCTGGCGTATTTATTATATTGTATTTGCCAGATATATTTGATTTTTTTAATTATATTTTCTATAATTCTAAAAGCAGGTATGTTTTGATCATCTTTTATTTTGTAATTTCTACATTTCCATAATTCGTTTGTAATAATATGATTTAGTGTAGTTAATATTTAGGCTTTGTTAATTTTTTTTTGACAAGTCTGTAATGTTTATTAAGAATAGAGCATGTATTGAGTTAAATGGTTTTTGAGGCAATAATTTTTCATATATTTTTTTAAATGTTTTCCATACAGTCCTTGCTTTTGTACAGAATATGAAAGGGTGAAGAGTGTTTTCAACTCTATTGCATGTTTTGCAGTTTGTGTTTCCAAAAAATTGTCCACGTTTTATCTTCCAAGAAATTGTTTTTTTCTAAAGTAGGCAGTGAATCAGTAAGAATTCTCCAAAGGGTATTCTTACTGGTGCCCTGCGCATAAGAAGCAAAATTTTTTTCCCATATTTCTTTCCATGGGAGAGGTTTTTTGAATTTTGCTTCCCATTTCAATTGAATTAATTTGAGGCTCTTATTTTCATTTGTAAATTGCATAATGTGTGTGTAAATAATCTTTGTAAATTTACGGGAAATATCAAAGATCTCATTATCAATCTTAAGCTTATCTATTAAATCCTTATAATAAAAGGGAAGGATATTTAAAGATTTCGGAAAGGTGTTTCCAGGAAGGAACAACCATTTGGGGTATTTATTTTTCGCCCAATTATTTAATGCATAGGCGAGGAAATATTTTTGTAGTAAAAGACCTTCATGGCGTTGCTCTAAATCTTCCAATTGAAAAAGAAATTTCATCCTGAATGCAAGGCATTGAATTTGCGTATTGAGTATCCCCAATCCCCCTCTATTGATAGCTAATTTTAAAATGTCCCTTTTTACAGGTTCAGCGTTCAGACTTTGCCAAAGGTAAATTGAGATTTCCTTTTCGATTTTTTTTAAATCAAACTTCGAAGAGTGAAATACATTGGCCACATGCCACACCTTTGACAAAGCAAGGGTGTTAATAAAGATCCCTTTACTTTTTAAAGAGATATTCCGGTATTTAAAAGATCGGAGAGTTTTTTTAAATTTCAAAATTGCTTTTTGCCAATTTATCCTGCTTGCATATGCATTGTCAGTGTGTAAAAGAATTCCAAGGAACTTTAAACCTGTTTGATTTGACCATGCAATGTTGTAAGTATTATGATTGAGATTTTTAACGGAGTTTTCATATCCTATAAAGTTAAATCCACCAAGCGCCAGGGCTTTGGTTTTATTTTTGTTTATGTTTGCACCCGTCGCTTGTTCATAATCATTAAGTGTTTTAAAAACTTCTTTAATCGAATTTTCACTGCGTATGAAAAGGGAGGTTTCATCTGCATACTGCGTGATTTTCAAGTTTGTTTTAGTTCCTGGAATTGGAATTCCATATATGCGTTCGTTATTTCTAAAATCTAAAGCTAGTGTTTCCACTGCTAAGCAGTATAACATTAAAGATATAGGGTCACCTTGTCGACAAACTCTATTTATTTTGAAAGGTTTACGTAAATAACCGTTATTTATTAAAGGAGATTGGGTATTTTTCATTGTTTGTTTTATAGCTTTTATAAAATTTTGGCCAAAATTAAACTTCTTTAAAACTTTAAAAATATAAGATCTGTCAATTTTGTCAAAAGCATTTTCTTGATCTATTGATAATAAACAACTTTTAATGTTTTTTTTATTGGTGTAATGAATAATGTCTCTTACAAGAAAAATATTTGAGAAAATATTTCTCTCTGGCACTGAACAAGTTTGAGAGGGTCCTAGTACAAAGTTTAAAATTTTTGAAAGTCTTAGCGCCAGCGCTTTTGTTATAATTTTATAATCTGCGCACAAAAGAGAAATTGGACGCCAGTTTTGTATTAAAGATAAATCACCGTCTTTTGGCAATAGGGTAATTAGGGCCGTTCTCTGCGACCAGGACAACTCCTTGGTCTTATCAAAAATGTTGTCATTTAAAATATTTGTTAGTTCATCCCCGTAAATATCCCAGTTCTCCTGATAAAATTCAATGGGTATGCCATCTATTCCGGGTGATCTGCCCTTGTTTAGAGATTGTGCCGCATTATATAGCTCTTCGCTACTAAATTTCAAGTTTAAGAAAGCATTTTGATCGTTTGTTAAAACGGTTTTAATATTGTTCAGAAACCGTTTTTGTTTTTCAGAGTTTATTAAGGGTTTCCTGTGAAGATGTTTGTAAAAGGTTCGAATAGTTTTCATAATATTTTTAGTGTCTTTATGGAGTGCAGATCCATCACTCATTGTTTTAATGGTTTTTTTGTTTTGGTTGCTCTTTTCCATTTGAAAAAGGGCTTTTGTTGGTTTTTCACCTTCTTCTAGTATTGTTTGTTTTGTCCGTACAAAAACTCCCGCCTCATTTGAAAGGTTTTTTAGTTTATTTTTTAAAAAATTAATTCTCCCGTTATCAAGAAAATCTTTTTTCATTTTTGCAATTTATTTCCATTTTTAAAAACTCCTCCTGTTTTTGTTTTATAAGTTTGTTTTTAATCGAAATTTTAATAGCAATATTTTTAATTTTGTTTTTTGTTATGTCCCACCATTGGTTTATATTTTCATATTTATCTTTTTTTTTTTTTTGTTTTTCAAAGTTTTCTTTTATTCTTATTTTAAAGTTTCCATCACATAAAATGTCCGTATTGAGGTGCCAATATCCTGGACCTCTGGTAATATTTTCTTTGAAATTTATTTCACAGAGTGTAGCGCTGTAATCACTTCATTTATTTTTAATAAAACTACATTTGCAATTCCTAAGTTCTGTTTTAGTAAAGTAGATCCTATCAATTCTACTTCTAAAGGATTTATCTTTTGTTTTCAAACGTAAACACTTGTTTGCGATCTAAATGCGTTCTAAAGACGTCATCTACTTTATTTAAGTTTTTAAACAAAATTAGATTTTTGAGACCAACAGTGTGGTTTGTGTTTAAAGAGTCTCCACCTTGCCTATCAAGGCTTGGATTTTCAACCATGTTAAAATTTCCAAGCAAACATAAAAAATCATATAGCCTAGAATGTTTATTCAATTTTCCAAAAAAAAATTCCTTATGTTGATGAATATTTGGTGCATAAATATTTATAATTCGCAAAATAGTATTTTTAAAAATAATGCTGACAGCAAGAATTCTACCACATTTATCGTGAGTTATTTCCTTAATTACTGTTCCTTTTTTAAAAAGAATAGCAGTGCCACATTTGCGGCTTGATCCGCTATTCCAGACGGAGAAGCCGTTTGTTTTTTTCTTCCATTCAATAGCCCAATTGTTTGCAGTTTCGTCAGTACTATAGGTTTCTTGTATACAGTATATTTCAAAGGTTAAATTTTGAAAAAAATTAAAAATGTTGTTTCTTTTTTCTGCGTCATTAAGGCCATTAACATTATAGGTTAAAATTTTTACTGCCATTTTAAACATTAAAGAGGAGATCAAATTAGAATTTTTTCATTCAACTAATTAGTAAGCGATTTAAAGCAATTTGAAAAAGAACTATGCGTAATTGCTTAAGCATGCTTTAACATCACAATATACCACAAATTTCAAAAATAGAAAAAAAAAAATTAAACCATCAAAAAAGTTAAAAATATCAAAAAAAAAAAAAAAATTTAACTCTTACTCTATCCGGGATTATCTTCGGTCATTCCAGAATCGAGATTGATTTCAATGGGTATTATCGATTCGTCGTCAATAATATATTCTTTTTCAGACAGGTCGTTCGTCGTTTCGATATTCTATTTCTTCCGCTCGTCTTGTTCTTTTCGTTCAGTCTTCTCGTTGTTGTTTTGTTTCTTTTTCTTGTTTTTGCCAGACTTTTTTGAAGGTTTACCAGTTTTAGGATCATCAGTTAGGTTTAGATTTGGTTCGGAAGTTTTTTTAATTTCATTGGGTATACTAGTCGCAGTTGTGTCATCCATTTCAGTTAGTGTAGAAACAGAAAGAAGTGGATTAAGATCATTTTGTTGAATTAATATTTGATTGTTTTCTTTTGAGTTTATATCAGGAACAGAATTTAAAAAATTTTGGTTATTTACCTTTGGCAGCTGCTCCTCTTGGCCATCATGTTTGGTTCTTATCCTATAACCGTAAACGTTCATATACTTTGGTATAGGACAGGGCATGTCTTCCATTATTGCAACTAATATGCCACTGTAATATTGCAGACCCTTTGTTGGAGTCGTTCGCATAACTGGCTTGGTTAAGACATGTCTACCGTAACCCATCTGCTCAAAGGTTTTTCCGATGTTTAAATTTTTAGCTTCAATTAGGAAGCCGAAAACAGAAACATGAGTGTTTCTACTTGGTCTACGTTCCGGATTGGATTTTTGGAATTTATGGTGGAATCCAGATATATCAAGTCCTGATTCCAAAAGTTTATATCGAGCTAAATCGGTTTTCATGACAATTTCAATATAATTATTTCGATTAATAAACTGTAGTCCTTCGAGCTGTTCGTCTAATTTAACCTCCTCTAGTGCTTTGAGTACATCTCCATTAGTTATATCAGTTTGTATTGCACTTAACAATGTTTTGTTTAATACTTTTTTTGTAAAAGTCGGCTTTTGTTGCACTGCATGTGCATAACTTTTGATATTACTTTTCGCAGTTTTGTGTTCAACCTCGTTGTCACTTTGAGAAACATCATCATCACTATAATCCATAATTATCTCTGCAATCATTGCTCCGTTCGCCACTACTTTCATTTTTTCAAGAAGTTTATCTGTTTCGCTCTTTAAAATAACATCCTCATTCAAGTTTTCTTCAAGAAGATCATTACAAGTTGTAGTTTTAAAAAAAACTGTTTTAAAATTTTCACAAGCCGCCATTTTCATTTCAACACGTAGAAAAACACGTCCGCATGCCCACCTTATTACACAGGGACTAAAAAGTTTCAGTATGTGTTTTTTTCCGTAGTGTGCTCGTTCTTCAAACGAGGGCCTTGTTTAACTGCCCATTTTTATAATTGTGGCTCTAAATTTTTGAACGCGACTTCTATAGCACAACACCCTATCGGTCTCTCATTGCAGACGCGACAGAACGAACCCTGACTCTTTGATCGAGTTGGACGGCCTTTCCTATATTATTAGTGACTTAGTGACTTGGTGAACGCCAGTGAACAGCTTATTTGAGTGTTTATAAGCGTTGCAAACGCTAGAGCTTTCGCCTACGACCATACCACGGTGAACACACCCGTTCTCGTCCGATCACGAAAGTTAAGCACCGTCGGGCCAGGGTAGTACTTGGATAAAGACCGCCTGGGAACTCTTGGTGCCGTAGGCTTTTTTCACTTTTCTCACCTTTCAATATTTAAATACATTTTTGCTCCATGTTCATTAATGACTTCAATCAATAGTGCTAAGCTTTTTTTTCAGTGTGCAAATATTCCATTATACATATTCCATTATAACGGCAATCAATCAAGTGAACCACGCATTCAACAAAATCTCTAAACTCTCTTCCCCAAACAACGCAAAAAATTGCTAATTGAAAAAAATCAATATTGAATCTATATCTATCTACATCTATAGGCACGCAAGTGTCAGCATCGAAGAAGTACTTGCAAAACAAACTATATTCTACAACATACCTCACTAACATGCTACAAACGCTAAACCTTCAAGCCAACTCCTACTCATTCAAGTTTAGAAAGTCTTTAATGTCTTGAATATGTTTAAAATCTTTAACATCATTGTTAATATACGTTTAAGACGCTAGAATATTCTTTGCTATCAAGTACTTTGTAACTGAGGTGCACAATATATTTTACAAGTAGGAATTGTAATTGACTAAAGAAAACAAAAACTTCTTACTTTTTAGTCTTGTGTTTATGCAAAAAAAACGACAAGTTCTCATTGCTTCATTTGAACTACAAACAGCAGCAGTTTTCTTCGTTTAATAATGAAATCAACAACTAAGTGAATCTAATTTATTAGATAAAATCCTTAAATACACTATTTGTCAAACATTAAAAAATACACGTATCATTTGCATACAAATTGCAACATTAAATAAACGTGTGAACCAAAAAAAGTAAACTGTTAAAAAAATACATGTAAGTCTCTGTTGAAAACCCGAAAATTCAGAAAACAAAGACATTAATCTTAAAAATTGTCGAACTGTCATAGAGACGAGCTAGACAAGAGGAAAGTTGTTTTTAATTGCATTAGTTTACCCTCTTCCGAAACCCCTAAAATTTGAAAATTTGCGTTAAAATTTATTGATGCCTTCTTTTTTTTTTTTTTCTCAAGATATCAATGAATATATTTCAAATCAAACTGATTTTGCAACTGGGAGATTTTATACGTTTTAGGATGGGTTATTCGTAATATATGTAAACATAAAATACAAATACCTGATAATAAAATGTAGAGTCCCTCTAAAAGTATTTACATATAAATGATACTTTATTAAAAAAAAATGATTTTTCGTTTTTGAACAGAATGAATAAACGAAATTAAAAAATTAAAATTTTATTTTAAGATACATAAAGTTACTTATTTTAAATTTAAAAATTAAAGTTCAGAATTAAAATTAAAAGATATATATAAACAATTAAGCAATTACACTACGCACGTGCTGAAAAAGTATTTTACAAATATGTATTGTTGTTGTCTCTCTTAAATTCTTCTCCAGAGACGAAAGGAGCTATTTTGAAATATATATATAATGCGCATGTCCTTCGCACCAAATGGTTATCCAGGACATGCTGTTATATCGTGTATAAATAATAAAATGTTGTGGGCATTAATCCACAATTTCAAAAAAAGAACACACAACCTTCGCCCTAACAGGATGGCTAGGGTCATGTCCGTAATCGTTTTAAACTATGGTTGAAGGCCCACGTTTCATTTCAAAAAAATTTTATATTATCAGGACTTACAATTTACCATTATATGAAATAGTGAATGTTAAGTCCTGTTTATTACTCATGCTTATGGCATTATTAACTGAAAACTTTTCGTGAAATTTTATAACGTTAATTTCTTTTGAATACTTGTTATATTTTATTGTCCATATATACTTTATTTCTCTTAATACATTTTCTACAATTCTTGTTGCAGGTATATTTTTGTTTTCTTTTAGTTTGGCATGTCTAAACCTCCATAGTTCTGTTGTTATAATATAGGTTAAATCAATTAATATTTTAGCTGTACAGTTTTTTCTCGGTAGGTCCTCTATGTTGATTATAAAGAGGCCGTGTACCGAACTAAAGGGTTTTTGAGGTATTATCTTTTCATACAATATTCTTAACAATTTCCATACAGCTCTCGCTTTGCTGCAGAATATAAAGAGATGTAGTGTGTCTTCCACACTGTTACATGTTTTGCAGTTGGGGTTTCCGTGGAAATGTCCACGTTTAATTTTTCAGGAGTTAGTTTTTTTTAAAGTAGGGAGGGAGTTTGTAAGAATTCGTTAATGCGTATTCTTACTGGTTCCTTGAGCATGAGAGTCAAAATTCCTTTCCCAGATTTTTTTTCCAGGGAAAGTTTTTTTAAAATTTCGCTTCCCATTTTAGTTTTATTAGTTTGGGCTTAAGTTTTCTTTTCGTTTTGTAATATGGGTGTATATACTATTTGTGGTTTTGTGCGTAATGTTGAAGATCTCAACATCGTTTCTACTCTTGTCAATTGCATCTTTATAGAAAATGGGAAGCGCATTCAGTAATTTCGGGTTACTATTTTAGTAAAGAATAACCATTGTGAGAACTTGATTTTGGCTAGGTTAGTTAGAGAGTATGCTAGGTAGTAGTTTGTTAGGAAGTACCCATCGTGGCATAAGTCGGACTCTTTTATTTGTAATATGTTTTTTATTCGCATGGCTAGACATTGGTTTTGCGCGTCTAAGATGCCCAAACCTCTTTTATTCACGGGTAGTTTGAGGATGTCCCTTTTTAAAACTAGACCTCAAGAAAATTGACAAGGAAATCGAGATTTCCTTGTCAATTTTCTTGAGGTCAAGTTTTGACATAGGAAATCCGTTAGCCACAAACCATACCTTTGACGAAGCTTTTAATATGGTTTTAATATGGTTTTAATTCAGAGATTTTAATATGGTTGAAAACCCAAGTATAGACCGGCAATGTGGAGATATATTAAATTCAAACCACTTTGTCGGATCAAAAAACTTAAACCTGTTTAAACAACTACATAGTAAATGACGTCTTCAGGACGCAACTTACACACAAACAAGTTTTTTATTATAAAATAGAAGATAAAACATTCCGAAGTAGGTTAGACCGCATTTATGCCTCTAATTATAACACTAACAACTGCAAGTGCACGTTTGTGAAAAATATTTTAAGTGACCACGACACAGCACTATGCGAAATTATATTTGATCTAGGAAACAAAAGGGGGCCGGGATACTGGCACCTTAATACCAACATATTAAGTGATAAAAATTTAAAAAATTTACAAACTGATTTTGATAAGCAAAAAAACAAAAAAATTAAATACCTAAATAACAACCAATGGTGGGATATTGTGATATCCCGAATAAAAAGTATAGCTATGGAAACAGCTAAACTAAAAAAATGTGAACTAAAACAACAAGAGGCAATATTATTACAAAAAAATTGATTTTGAAACACGGAAAATAATCATAGATACTAAAAAAATTAAACAACTCAAAGAAGAGCAAAAAACTCTCTTTAACAACACAGGAGTCTTTGTGAGAACAAAGCAACTTATTGTTGAAGAGGGCGAAAAACCATCGAAAGCCCTATTTCAAATAGAAATAAGCAATCGAAAAAAGAAAATTATTAAAACAATAACTGATGGAAATAGAGTGCATAAAGATACCAAAAAAATATTGAAAACAGTTAGAAATTTCTACAAAAACTTATACAAAAAAGAAAATTTGAAAAATGAAATGCAAGAATCCTTTCTTGCAAATATAAATAATGCTTCAAATGATAACCAGAATAGTGTTCTCATAATAAAATAAAGTAGCCAAGAACTACTAAATGCAGCAAATTCATTACGTAAAGGTAAAATGCCTGGTATAGACTGATTGCCAGTCGAACTATATCAAGAATACTTGGAAATTTATGGCGAAGAGCTCACTGCTTTGCTAAATGATAATTTTTTTAACAGTGATAATAAATTGACCTGGTCATAAACGACGGCTTTAATTAGTCTATTGCCAAAAGACGGCGATGTGACCTCAATGCTAAACTGGCGACCAATATCACTATTATACGCCGATTATAAAATCGCAACAAAAGCGCTTGCGTTAATACTCTTAAATGTGATGCAACTCCTACTTGCGCCCTCGCAAACGTGCTTGGTGCCAGAAAGAAATTTATTTTCAAATATATTTCTAGTAAAAGACATAATTCACCATACAAACAAAAAAAAAATCGAAAGTTGCTTGATCACAATTGACCAAGAAAAGGCTTTTGGCAAATTCGATAGAGTTTTTTTGTTCAAAGTCCTAGAAAAATTTAATCTAGGAAAAAAATTTATCAACGCAATAAAACAAACAATGGAAAATACTCAATCCATTGTCTTAAACAATGGATATATTAGTAAACTTTTAAAAACTGAGAGGGGCGTCCATCAGGGCGACCCGATTTCACATGCTCTACTGCTTGGCCGTGGAAACGCTTGCCCTAGAGTTTAAAAACAACAAACTTATTGATGGCATTCAGCTGCCAGGATCAAAAGTAAACTTAAAAGTCTCGCAATACGCGTATGACACAACTCTCTTTGCTAGAAGCCCCCGATCAATAGAACAATCTTTTAAAATTTGAGTTAACTTTAAGCACGCGTCCGGCTCCAATATTAACAGGAACAATACGAAAGCTCTCGCCCTGGGGGGTTTTAATAATATAGGATACGAAAACTCAATATTAACTCTAAAACAAAAAAATTTCACCTAAATTGGTCTAACCAAACTTGAATTAAAACTCTCTAACTAACCTAGCTAAAACCAAGTTCCCA